ACGCACCCCTCCACTGTCCAATGACGCACCCCTCCCCTGTCTAATGACATTTTTTTCTCACTGTCCAATGGTGTAACTCTCTATTCCCAGACAGCGAGTAATTGAGCTGCAAGTTTGAGAATGACTCGCTAAACTATCGCAGACCCGCCGAGCGTCACAATTACAGCGAGTCTCCAGACCACCGTGCTTTGCAACAGTGCTGAACACTTGCCGGACTCTTCCTCAGACCCGCGGGACTCTTCCTCAGACCCGCGGGACTCTTCCTCAGACCCGCGGGACTCTTCCTCAGACCCGCGGGACTCTTCCTCAGACCCGCGGGACTCTCCCTCAGACCCGCGGGACTCTCCCTCAGACCCGCGGGACTCTCCCTCAGACCCGCGGGACTCTCCCTCAGACCCGCGGGACTCTCCCTCAGACCCGCGGGACTCTCCCTCAGACCCGCGGGACTCTCCCTCAGACCCGCGGGACTCTCCCTCAGACCCGCGGGACTCTCCCTCAGACCCGCGGGACTCTCCCTCAGACCCGCGGGACTCTCCCTCAGACCCGCGGGACTCTCCCTCAGACCCGCGGGACTCTCCCTCAGACCCGCGGGACTCTCCCTCAGACCCGCGGGACTCTCCCTCAGACCCGCGGGACTCTCCCTCAGCTACAAATTCATAAAGTGTGGTCTAGAACTTGTGCTGCGCGTGTGCTGCGCGTCTACAACCTGCCCGGAATGTGCAGCAAGGTAACAAGAATTACAATGTAACCCGGACACAAGTTTGTGGCACGTTATCCTTGCTATCTGGGATTGATGCACCCCTCCACTGCTCCAAGGGTCGCTCGTAGAATGTGGTGGGTTCAGAGTTTAGTGTATCCCGATAGGCTCAGCAAAGAATGCAGCACGAGGATTAAAGGACATCAACTGTAGGCAGTTCTGGGCAGCTGGCTAGGCGGAGGGTGGTCAACAGTGTGAGGGGACAGCAGAGTCTTTCTGGGGGGGATCCCTGGTTCCTGGGACATCTGGGGTGACCTGAATGCGACTTCGGGTCCAGCAAGCAGCATCGAAACACAGATGGAGGAGTTCAGAGTGGTCCAGAGAAGACTCCTGGGTTCAAGATGGGCTAAGGGGAAATCCTGGAGGCTCAGCCACAAAGGGTTAGGGCCCATAGAGAGGGTATTCTGGTACACCATTCAGAGACCTGAGCCCAAATCCCCGGTGCCACAGTGTCAGCTGTAAAGGGTCCACAGCAAAGGTTCCACAGAGAGAGTGTATCCCTTGTACATTGATCAGAGACCTTGGCCAAAATCCAAGATGTCTGACAGTGACGTGGGCCTAAATCCCGGGTGTCAAGGTGTCTGGCAGTGACGTGAGCCCAAATGACCGATGTCAAGGTGTCTGGCAGTGACCTGGGCCCAAATGACCGGTGTCGAGGTGTCTGGCAGTGACCTGGGCCCGGTGTCTGGCAGTGACCTGGGCCCGGTGTCTGGCAGTGACCTGGGCCCGGTGTCTGGCAGTGACCTGGGCCCGGTGTCTGGCAGTGACCTGGGCCCGGTGTCTGGCAGTGACCTGGGCCCGGTGTCTGGCAGTGACCTGGGCCCGGTGTCTGGCAGTGACCTGGGCCCGGTGTCTGGCAGTGACCTGGGCCCGGTGTCTGGCAGTGACCTGGGCCCGGTGTCTGGCAGTGACCTGGGCCCGGTGTCTGGCAGTGACCTGGGCCCGGTGTCTGGCAGTGACCTGGGCCCGGTGTCTGGCAGTGACCTGGGCCCGGTGTCTGGCAGTGACCTGGGCCCGGTGTCTGGCAGTGACCTGGGCCCGGTGTCTGGCAGTGACCTGGGCCCGGTGTCTGGCAGTGACCTGGGCCCGGTGTCTGGCAGTGACCTGGGCCCGGTGTCTGGCAGTGACCTGGGCCCGGTGTCTGGCAGTGACCTGGGCCCGGTGTCTGGCAGTGACCTGGGCCCGGTGTCTGGCAGTGACCTGGGCCCGGTGTCTGGCAGTGACCTGGGCCCGGTGTCTGGCAGTGACCTGGGCCCGGTGTCTGGCAGTGACCTGGGCCCGGTGTCTGGCAGTGACCTGGGCCCGGTGTCTGGCAGTGACCTGGGCCCGGTGTCTGGCAGTGACCTGGGCCCGGTGTCTGGCAGTGACCTGGGCCCGGTGTCTGGCAGTGACCTGGGCCCGGTGTCTGGCAGTGACCTGGGCCCGGTGTCTGGCAGTGACCTGGGCCCGGTGTCTGGCAGTGACCTGGGCCCGGTGTCTGGCAGTGACCTGGGCCCGGTGTCTGGCAGTGACCTGGGCCCGGTGTCTGGCAGTGACCTGGGCCCGGTGTCTGGCAGTGACCTGGGCCCGGTGTCTGGCAGTGACCTGGGCCCGGTGTCTGGCAGTGACCTGGGCCCGGTGTCTGGCAGTGACCTGGGCCCGGTGTCTGGCAGTGACCTGGGCCCGGTGTCTGGCAGTGACCTGGGCCCGGTGTCTGGCAGTGACCTGGGCCCGGTGTCTGGCAGTGACCTGGGCCCGGTGTCTGGCAGTGACCTGGGCCCGGTGTCTGGCAGTGACCTGGGCCCGGTGTCTGGCAGTGACCTGGGCCCGGTGTCTGGCAGTGACCTGGGCCCGGTGTCTGGCAGTGACCTGGGCCCGGTGTCTGGCAGTGACCTGGGCCCGGTGTCTGGCAGTGACCTGGGCCCGGTGTCTGGCAGTGACCTGGGCCCGGTGTCTGGCAGTGACCTGGGCCCGGTGTCTGGCAGTGACCTGGGCCCGGTGTCTGGCAGTGACCTGGGCCCGGTGTCTGGCAGTGACCTGGGCCCGGTGTCTGGCAGTGACCTGGGCCCGGTGTCTGGCAGTGACCTGGGCCCGGTGTCTGGCAGTGACCTGGGCCCGGTGTCTGGCAGTGACCTGGGCCCGGTGTCTGGCAGTGACCTGGGCCCGGTGTCTGGCAGTGACCTGGGCCCGGTGTCTGGCAGTGACCTGGGCCCGGTGTCTGGCAGTGACCTGGGCCCGGTGTCTGGCAGTGACCTGGGCCCGGTGTCTGGCAGTGACCTGGGCCCGGTGTCTGGCAGTGACCTGGGCCCGGTGTCTGGCAGTGACCTGGGCCCGGTGTCTGGCAGTGACCTGGGCCCGGTGTCTGGCAGTGACCTGGGCCCGGTGTCTGGCAGTGACCTGGGCCCGGTGTCTGGCAGTGACCTGGGCCCGGTGTCTGGCAGTGACCTGGGCCCGGTGTCTGGCAGTGACCTGGGCCCGGTGTCTGGCAGTGACCTGGGCCCGGTGTCTGGCAGTGACCTGGGCCCGGTGTCTGGCAGTGACCTGGGCCCGGTGTCTGGCAGTGACCTGGGCCCGGTGTCTGGCAGTGACCTGGGCCCGGTGTCTGGCAGTGACCTGGGCCCGGTGTCTGGCAGTGACCTGGGCCCGGTGTCTGGCAGTGACCTGGGCCCGGTGTCTGGCAGTGACCTGGGCCCGGTGTCGAGGTGCCTGTCTGTATCCTGGTACATCAATCAGAGACCTGATCCCAAATCCCCAGTATTGAGGTATGGGACTATATTCTTCTACAGGATACAATACATCCTGTGCTTCCTGCTGAGAGTAGCCCCATCTCCAGACCTCTGTGTGGTCACAGGAATCCCTTCATCAATGTTATAGATCAGCTGACTGATTTCCAAATGGCCTTTGCACTAGCTCTGCAGTAACACATGTTTTTGAGGTTGATGATCTGCATTGTCGTGACGGAACATTCACAATGACATACACATGTAATAATAGAATAGGGATTAGAGCACATTTCCATATTATGGTGATCCCCCCAGCATTGAGGTTACAGTAGCACCCCCTAGACACACAGAAGGAGATGACAGTGACCTTCATATAGAGAATGAGGTGATGTGTGAAGGATTCTGGTGGAAAGACTCGGGAATAGCACGGTCTGGGACATGACCTACATCATGGAAATCCAGAGAAGCCTAACCCTAAGTCACACAGAGGACTGGGAAGGCCAGGACCACTTCATGAGCTGCCAGCTGGGTCTGAGACCTGGGAGACATGGAAGAGATAGTGTTGAATAGAACGGACTGCGAGCTCCTCCATGAGCCCGAACTGTGTGATTGTTACTATTTGTGTCACGGTTCAAATCTCTAACTGTCCATTTCTTGCAGGCCGAACCCGCCTCTGCAAACTAAAGTCATGGCTCTGCTTATGGCTTTGCTCCAGAAGCCTGGGAATAGAGAGCGAGCGGTAAGTAAAAGCATGGATGTGGATGATAGAGGAGTGTCTGGGAATAGAGAGCGAGCGGTAAGTAAAAGCATGGATGTGGATGATAGAGGAGTGTCTGGGAATAGAGAGCGAGCGGTAAGTAAAAGCATGGATGTGGATGATAGAGGAGTGTCTGGGAATAGAGAGCGAGCTGTAAGGGGAACACACAAATGATGGCTGAGTGGTGAGAGAGCCAAAAGTAAAAGAGCCAATCCACAATGGCTGAGTGTCTGAGAACATAGAGAGCGAGTGGTGAGAGCACATGGATAATGGTTGAGAATAGTGAGCGAGTGGTAAGAGAGCACATGGATAATGACTGAGAATAGTGAGCGAGTGGTAAGAGAGCACATGGACAATGGTTGAGAATAGTGAGCGAGTGGTAAGAGAGCACATGGACAATGGTTGAGAATAGTGAGCGAGTGGTAAGAGAGCACATGGACAATGGTTGAGAATAGTGAGCGAGTGGTAAGAGAGCACATGGACAATGGTTGAGAATAGTGAGCGAGTGGTAAGAGAGCACATGGATAATGATTGAGAATAGTGAGCGAGTGGTAAGAGAGCACATGGACAATGGTTGAGAATAGTGAGCGAGTGGTAAGAGAGCACATGGACAATGGTTGAGAATAGTGAGCGAGTGGTAAGAGAGCACATGGACAATGGTTGAGAATAGTGAGCGAGTGGTAAGAGAGCACATGGACAATGGTTGAGAATAGTGAGCGAGTGGTAAGAGAGCACATGGACAATGGTTGAGAATAGTGAGCGAGTGGTAAGAGAGCACATGGACAATGGTTGAGAATAGTGAGCGAGTGGTAAGAGAGCACATGGACAATGGTTGAGAATAGTGAGCGAGTGGTAAGAGAGCACATGGACAATGGTTGAGAATAGTGAGCGAGTGGTAAGAGAGCACATGGATAATGATTGAGAATAGTGAGCGAGTGGTAAGAGAGCACATGGACAATGGTTGAGAATAGTGAGCGAGTGGTAAGAGAGCACATGGACAATGGTTGAGAATAGTGAGCGAGTGGTAAGAGAGCACATGGACAATGGTTGAGAATAGTGAGCGAGTGGTAAGAGAGCACATGGACAATGGTTGAGAATAGTGAGCGAGTGGTAAGAGAGCACATGGACAATGGTTGAGAATAGTGAGCGAGTGGTAAGAGAGCACATGGACAATGGTTGAGAATAGTGAGCGAGTGGTAAGAGAGCACATGGACAATGGTTGAGAATAGTGAGCGAGTGGTAAGAGAGCACATGGATAATGACTGAGAATAGTGAGCGAGTGGTAAGAGAGCACATGGACAATGGTTGAGAATAGTGAGCGAGTGGTAAGAGAGCACATGGATAATGACTGAGAATAGTGAGCGAGTGGTAAGAGAGCACATGGATAATGACTGAGAATAGTGAGCGAGTGGTAAGAGAGCACATGGATAATGACTGAGAATAGTGAGCGAGTGGTAAGAGAGCACATGGATAATGACTGAGAATAGTGAGCGAGTGGTAAGAGAGCACATGGATAATGACTGAGAATAGTGAGCGAGTGGTAAGAGAGCACATGGATAATGACTGAGAATAGTGAGCGAGTGGTAAGAGAGCACATGGATAATGACTGAGAATAGTGAGCGAGTGGTAAGAGAGCACATGGATAATGACTGAGAATAGTGAGCGAGTGGTAAGAGAGCACATGGATAATGACTGAGAATAGTGAGCGAGTGGTAAGAGAGCACATGGATAATGACTGAGAATAGTGAGCGAGTGGTAAGAGAGCACATGGATAATGACTGAGAATAGTGAGCGAGTGGTAAGAGAGCACATGGATAATGACTGAGAATAGTGAGCGAGTGGTAAGAGAGCACATGGATAATGACTGAGAATAGTGAGCGAGTGGTAAGAGAGCACATGGATAATGACTGAGAATAGTGAGCGAGTGGTAAGAGAGCACATGGATAATGACTGAGAATAGTGAGCGAGTGGTAAGAGAGCACATGGATAATGACTGAGAATAGTGAGCGAGTGGTAAGAGAGCACATGGATAATGACTGAGAATAGTGAGCGAGTGGTAAGAGAGCACATGGATAATGACTGAGAATAGTGAGCGAGTGGTAAGAGAGCACATGGATAATGACTGAGAATAGTGAGCGAGTGGTAAGAGAGCACATGGATAATGACTGAGAATAGTGAGCGAGTGGTAAGAGAGCACATGGATAATGACTGAGAATAGTGAGCGAGTGGTAAGAGAGCACATGGATAATGACTGAGAATAGTGAGCGAGTGGTAAGAGAGCACATGGATAATGACTGAGAATAGTGAGCGAGTGGTAAGAGAGCACATGGATAATGACTGAGAATAGTGAGCGAGTGGTAAGAGAGCACATGGATAATGACTGAGAATAGTGAGCGAGTGGTAAGAGAGCACATGGATAATGACTGAGAATAGTGAGCGAGTGGTAAGAGAGCACATGGATAATGACTGAGAATAGTGAGCGAGTGGTAAGAGAGCACATGGATAATGACTGAGAATAGTGAGCGAGTGGTAAGAGAGCACATGGATAATGACTGAGAATAGTGAGCGAGTGGTAAGAGAGCACATGGATAATGACTGAGAATAGTGAGCGAGTGGTAAGAGAGCACATGGATAATGACTGAGAATAGTGAGCGAGTGGTAAGAGAGCACATGGATAATGACTGAGAATAGTGAGCGAGTGGTAAGAGAGCACATGGATAATGACTGAGAATAGTGAGCGAGTGGTAAGAGAGCACATGGATAATGACTGAGAATAGTGAGCGAGTGGTAAGAGAGCACATGGATAATGACTGAGTGTCTGAGAGTGGAAAGTGAGTGTTGACATTTTTAGGGGCACCAGGTGCTCTTTATTACCCCTCCTCTACGCTTTGGCGGTTTAACCCCTGGCAGAGCTCTATGATTGGGTTGGATATTACACAGGAACTCACGTTGAAGTAGGTTATTTGCCCCATTGGCCCTCAGGCAGGGGCACGTTTAGGTGCGTCGATTCCCCTTCTGCTAGGCGATAACTTTAGATACTTCTGAGTTGTTGCAGATGGAACAGAATCTGATCTAGTGACCTTTGTGATTGGCCAGTTATAAGACCCTGCTGGGCGCATAGTACTGCATTCATGATTTATATAGCGCCAACAGTGAGCACAGCGCTGTACAATATAAGGAAGACATTACAGTCACAATACAAGACAAGATGGTAAGGAGGGCCCTGCCCCTGAGGGCTTACAATCTAAAAGGGGAGGGGCCAGTGATACATGAGGAGGGAGCTGTGTGGGGATGAATGGTTGAGGTGGGATCGGCTTCCCTAAGGAGATGAGTCTTAAGGGATCGCCTAAAGGCAGTCAGAGTGGGAGATAGACGGACAGGTTGGGGTAAAGAGTTCCAGAGGATGGGAGAGACTTTAGAGAAGTCCTGGAGGCGAGTATGGGAGGAGTTGATGATGGACCTGGAAAGCAGGAGGTCTTGGGATGAGCGGAGGGGGCGGTTAGGGTGATACTTAGAGACAAGGTTGGAGATATAGCCGGGGGCGGAGCTGTGGATGGCTTTGCAAGTCGTTAATATTTAGAATTTGATCCTACTGGACCCTGACCCTTACTGTGCAGATCTTGGCATTTCCCCGCCTTAGAATGCGATCTTTACTCTCTTGTTATTCTATGCTAATATACTGGAAGCGGGATAGTCGGCAACACTCTGGGAATGGAAAGCCTTTGGTCAGTCAGATGGTAGCTATGTACAAACGTATGTATAAGGCTAGAGGGGGCCCCTTAGGGTTAGGGGGAAGCTATATGGTCTAGATGGGTTCATAGCCAGGATACGCATGAGACTATTGTGTAGAAGTTGCAATGCCCTTTGCTATTGTTTACTATACATTTGTGTCTTGTATTTCTCTTGTTAGATGATCACTGTGCTACAAAGTACATCAATAACTCAAACTTGAAACATTCATGTGCTTAACCCCTTAGTGACACAGCTTCAGAAATTGTTTGAGTTCCTGGGGAGCGGAGCAATTTTGCCATTTTTGCTCTGTGTTTGTTTAACCCTCATTTCCATCTTCCTCATGCATGACACCTACACATATTAGAGACCGTTTTTTAAAGGACAAAATGGGCTTTATTTTGATGTGACAAATGCAGAGAGAAATTCTAATTTATTTCAATCAAAAATAAAAAAAAAAAGGAAAGAAAAATGGAAAAAAAAACCAAACAAATGTTAATTTTTCTCAATAATAAAATGTACATAACGAGTGTCGCTAACAAAGTCCTTCATTATACATTCTTGTATTGGTCCCGATTTATGGGGTATATCATGTGTCTGGGATTTCACTTTATTATAGGAGTTATAAGTCACACAATACAAGGAGTGAAATACAAGTTTGTCTCCCCAGCACTATCTTTTCTTCTCATTTTTTAAAACTTTTTTTTTGAATGGCTGTCACAGCAGTGTGATCCCTGTGTTTAGCTATCGCAGTGCTTACAGGGCCGGGACCCCTAATTCGCTGTTGAGGGTCTGCCTCGGACCCCCGAGGGACCCTGCAACAGCATAAACTCAATGGAGCGTTGGTCCCTCCACGAACCACCTCTCATTGTACATGTGTCAGAAACATAAACAGGATTGGCCGGGATCTGCAATGAAGGAGATTCCCTACTTATTTCACAAATCAACCAATAATTCGAGTTCTTTATTTGCACTAATTTGAGGATGAAATAAAAACAATAATGTGCAAAAATATATATTAACTAAAATCCGTGCAAAATAAATAATTAAAATATAACTGGTGACAATAAAGAATTGGATCAAAATTGTGATAATATTTCAAACTCCCATATGGTTCCTCTACTGATCTTTTATGAGCTTAAGTGTAAAAGATCTACCAAACTCACCTCTCCAGCGTCCAGCACACGAAGGGTGGCTCCGCCCCTAGGGTTTGTCAGAAGTGGGCGTTTGAGATCCTCCTGTTTGTTTATACCATGTTCAATGGCTGAGTATCTGGGAATAGAGAGCGAGTGGTAAGAGAGTGTCTGGGCAATGGCTGAGTGGTAAGAGAGTGTATGGGCAATGGCTGAGTGTCTGGGCAATGGCTGAGTGGTAAGAGAGTGTATGGGCAATGGCTGAGTGTCTGGGAATAGAGAATTAGTGGTAAGAGAGTGTCTGGGAATAGAGAGCGAGTGGTAAGAGAGTGTCTGGGAATAGAGAGCGAGTGGTAAGAGAGTGTCTGGGCAATGGCTGAGTGGTAAGAGAGTGTCTGGGCAATGGCTGAGTGTCTGGGAAGACAATACAAGTGTGTGGTGGCTTCCCTCTATGCCTGTGGGTGGAATGGCAGCTGCTTTTCACTAGCGGTGTATTATGGGTAACTTGCTTGTCTCCTCTTCCAGGAGATGTTGGAATATCTGGGGAAGAAGAATATGAGGCAGTTCATCCATAAGGTGAGAGTGTTGCTGCTCCCTCTGGTACAGAATTCCTGAACATTTCATTCATCTGGAATATTTCCTCCTTGCAGCACATTATTCATGGCTGGTCTGTCCTGGGAGATGAGATGAGCCATTACCTGTATGTCTTGCAATGTCTAAGCCTTGGCCTGCTAGAGGATCGGATGAAGACCCCAGTGGACCCCAATGACGCTGTAAGAACCCCACAAGGAACTGAATAATCCCAGAGATAGGTCAGACATGTTACCCTGGGATGATGTACTTGTGTCGTTTCTTTTATGTCTCACTAGCACATTGAACGATAGAAGACAGATTCATGTAAACGCACGGAACACAAGTTCTGAAAGATGAAGTAAAGCAACAGAAAACAATTCTCCAGCAAGTGCCTCGTTATCAGTGTGAGCCGTATTTCCCACACCTCTTCCGGCATTTCCCACACCTCTTCCGGCACTTCCCACACCTCTTCCGGCACTTGCCACACCTCTTCCGGCACTTGCCACACCTCTTCCGGCACTTGCCACACCTCTTCCGGCACTTGCCACACCTCTTCCGGCACTTCCCACACCTCTTCCGGCACTTCCCACACCTCTTCCGGCACTTCCCACACCTCTTCCGGCACTTCCCACACCTCTTCCGGCACTTGCCACACCTCTTCCGGCATTTCCCGACCCTCATCCATCAGTTTCCAGCTCTCATCCAGTACTTCCCAGCCTTCTTCCAGTGGTTCCTACCTCTTATCTAGTAGTTCTCAACACTCTTTCAGTATTTCCCTGTTCTCGTCCAGCAGTTCCCAGCTGTCTCCAATCATGTTCCAGCTGTCATCCAGTAATGTTCCGCTCTCATTCAGTAGTTCCCAGCTCTCATTCGGCACTTCCCCGCTCTCATTCGGCACTTCCCATCTCTCATTCGGCACTTCCCATGGCTCAGTGTCAGGCACATCATGTTTTTGTGGCGATCATACAAGGTGGTACATGGTCCCATGGAGGCTCAGTGTCAGGCACATCATGTTTTTGTGGCGATCATACAAGGTGGTACATGGTCCCATGGAGGCTCAGTGTCAGGCACATCATGTTTTTGTGGCGATCATACAAGGTGGTACATGGTCCCATGGAGGCTCAGTGTCAGGCACATCATGTTTTTGTGGCGATCATACAAGGTGGTACATGGTCCCATGGAGGCTCAGTGTCAGGCACATCTTGTTTTTGTGGCGATCATACAAGGTGGTACATGGTCCCATGGAGGCTCAGTGTCAGGCACATCTTGTTTTTGTGGCGATCATACAAGGTGATACATGGTCCCATGGAGGCTCAGTGTCAGGCACATCTTGTTTTTGTGGCGATCATACAAGGTGGTACATGGTCCCATGGAGGCTCAGTGTCAGGCACATCTTGTTTTTGTGGTGATCATACAAGGTGGTACATGGTCCCATGGAGGCCCGGGGTGTCGGCTAAATCTTGGTATGGTGAAGATCGTACAGTGTTACAAAGTCCCATGAAGGCCAGGTCTCAGGTGGCTGTATTTTTTGGTCTCTCCAGCTGATTGGTGTATGTTGTACCCTTCCTAATTCCTCTCTTTTAGGGGCAGCGTCAACAGCTCCAGAACCTTCGACTCTCAGCGTTTCCAAATGAGGGGGATGAAGAAGGTCACATGTCCACTGAGAAACGACGTTCACTTTGTGCCAAGGAATTCCGCAAGCTTGGCTTCACAGTAAGTAGTGACCCTATGTAGAGTACGGAGGGAAATCTGTCCAAACCTGTCCTTAGCATCTCTTTCAACCTGAGTTGTCACCGCCAATTACTGATAATACTTACATTGGTTGGTGATTGATCACTAAGGTATGACCTCATGTCCATCGTGGGGAGGCACAGGGCATATCACATGTTCCCCTATACCTTGGAGATACGGAAATTTGATTGAGCAGGAGAAGGAAGTCCCGCTGAATATAGTTAAGTCATCAGAGGACACCTAGCATTGGGTGGGGGGGTCTCAGGTGTACAGCAATATGACAGGTATGTACCGAAGGGTGTCTGGCACAGGGAGGGGGGTCTCAGGTGTACATTAATATGACAGGTGTGTACCAAAGGAAATCCAGCATAGGTTGGGGGGGAGTCTCACCTGTG